TAGTCTACTTGCTATAATAGAAGTAAATATTTTGTAGTCAGTATTTAGCAAAGAAATTGGCCTATAATATATCGGGGGTATATGTCGGGGGTCCGAATCCTCCTTCAGGATCAGCGAAATCAATGCCCCCTCCATGAGTCCAGCATCCTGGCTGCTAATAAAACTTCTACCATGAGAGGTCCTATTTGTTCTGCTATTGCCTTGTACAGCTCCCCTGGGATCCCATCTGGTCCCGGGGATTTGTTGTTTTTCTGGTTCTCTACCACTGATTGCAATTCGAACCAAGTAATGTCTTCGTTTAATAATTCCTCCATTTCTTCCCCAATTGCTTTATCCTTCATTTCAACTAAATAGTTTCTTATCCTATTTTCGTTAACTTCTTTCTTTTTATATAACTCTTCAAAATATTTATGGGCAATTTCTTTTTTCTGTTCTATCCCTTGTTGTATATCTCCCTTTCCATCTATTAGCTGATAAATCAATCTTTTTTCTTTTCTTAGTCTATATGATAGTCATCTCCCTGGCTTGTTGGCATGTTCAAAATGAGTTTGTCTGGTTGTATTCAGATTTATAATCATTATCTCTTGTTCAATTAAATTCAATTTATGTTTAGTTATTATTATCTGATTTTGCAATTTTAAATCCTTTGGGGTACTCTGTAATTGAGTTTCTAATTCCTTAATTTTTTTGTTGTAATTTGTTTTGCTGGGCATATTTTTCTTTGTTCCTCTTGGCATTATAAGAGATTGTTATACCTCTTATTACTGCCTTCATTGTATCCCAAATGTTTTGTTTCATAGTTGCTCCATTATTATTTTCCTTTAAAAAATAGTTTAATTCCTCCTTGAGTTTGTTGGTATATTCTTTTTCTCATTAACTGAGTATTTAACATCCATCTTTTCTTGGGTTTTTCCCTACCCTTCCATATTATCTGAATTGGATTGTGATCTGCCCATTCATTGGGTAGGATTTCAATCCCTTTTATCTCATTTGCTATTTCCCCATTCATCCATGCCATATCAATTCATGTCCATATTTGATGAGGATTTGAATAGAATGTAAATTGTTTTTTCTCAGGATTTAATCTTCTCCATACATCAATCAAATTTAACTCCTTCATCATTTCCATGCATATTTTGGGAAGTTCTCCCCCCCCCCCTTTGTTCCTTCCCCCATCAGCAATAGAATTAAAGTCCCTTATAATACAAATATTTCTTTTTTCAAATCCTACTATTTTTCCATAAAGATGCTTTAAAAACTCTTTTTGATCTCCATTCGGGGTGTAGTTTACCACTAAGAGAATTGGGATGGCATAAATCCAGATTGCAAAACCAGATTTCTTCCCTCAGGATCCGACCATATTAAATCTCCTTTCATATCCTCTTTAACATACACTGCAATCCCTTTCTTTTTCCCCACATCTGCTGGTGCGGTGAATAGCTTCCCTAATTTCGGGCATTCTAAGTATTTTTCATCTGATTTCTTTAAATGAGTTTCTTGTAGACATAATATATCAGCATTTTGTTTGATTAATTTGGCTATTATCCTTTTCCTTTTTATCATTGAGTTTAAACCATTTATATTAATTGATAATAGTTTCTTTTCTTCTTCCATTAAATTAGTTCTGTTTTGCTCTTTGTCTTGTGACTGTTCTGGTTCTCCTTGTGCCTGAAGATGTGTCCTACTTTCTTCTCTCTCCTGTTGTAATTGAGTATTTTTTTGATTTCCTAAAGTTCTGTTTTTGTTCTTATGATAGCTTTGATCTTCCTGGGAGTTCGTTTTCAGTTCATCCTTACTGCTCTGGTCTTCCGGGCCTACCAACCGTTCATAAAATTCCTGGGCCTTTTCCATGGAGTCTATTTTGATTTTCTTCTCGTCCCACGAAACTAAAATCCCCTCTGAGATTAACCATTTAAATACACTTCTTTTCTGATTTAGGTAAGACGCTAAAAATTTATAATCTCGTCTTTGTTTTCTTACTCTTCTTGGTATTTGTTTGAGAACCAAGACTTCTTTGCCTTTTTACGTGATTGATTCATCTCTTGACATCCTATATATGATGTCTTGGACACTCCTTCTCACAAATCATATATGGACTTCTCTTGGGCATTTGTGGCATCTCCATAATTAGTGCTAACCCTGTAAACTTTGTCAAACTCCCTCAAGATGTCATCTTTATCCTTTTCCAATAGTCCTGCCAATATTCCTGCCATTAGTTGTTCCAAGTCCTCATCTTTGGATTCCACTATATTCTGGAATCTCAAGTATGTAGCAGCCTTATCCATCTCTAGGTAGACCAGTGAGTCCTCCATTTCTTTATTCACATTCTTTAATTGTTCATCTACCCTTTCTAATTTCCTTTCAGTTCGTTCTGTCCTTTTCTCTACCTCTTTTATTGTTGCTTCATTTTTCTCCAAGGCCTGCTGTAATAATCCAACTTTGTCCTCTACTTTGGAGATATCTGCTTTCATTTCTGCTTTTAGTTTCCCCATCTCCTCTTTTAATTCATTTATATCTGCTCTCATCTCATTGTGGTTCTTCATCATTGTTTCTTGCAGTTTCATCATTGATTCCTGTAAAATAAACAGAATTGATTGGAGGTTGGCATTTGAAGTGTTAGCTTGTTTCTCCACTGGTAATGTTTCTTCAATGGTTTTTTGTGCCATGGGCAAAGCTATTGCCGATGTGGTTGTTAACTTCAGGGTGACCTTTCATCCAGTTTTCAGAGTTGCAGTTGTTGTGGAAGTCATTTCTTTTAAGATTTGTTTCTGTTGTAATATATTAATTATATTATCCCAATTTAACATTCAATAATAGGATCTCTATATTAGGATTGACCAGTATCTAATTACTTAATCTATCTATATGCTGGATATCTGTACTCTTTGCCGATTTATTGGAGTATAGGTTCTTGTAGATAAAAATATTATCACTGTATTATTTTAAATCCAAATTCTAACTCACATATATAATTTTGTAAGGTCTCAATGCTCAGCCTCTATACCTAACTTCCACATAGTGGGAAAAATATATAAATGTTATACCCAAATCCAGCTATGTTTAAATATTATAAATAAATATATGTATTATATAACCTTATTTTTAATATTCTTAACCACAAACAGTATTACATTCATCCCCAAGTGGATTAATTAAATATTTAGAGTGATCAAACAATGAATTGTAATACTAATATATAATATCCTTTACAGTTATTAATTAAATAATACTTAATGTTCTTACTATTTTTCCTATATATCTAATCAAAGTATAACTATCACTATTGTTAATAAATGGTAAGGCAAGGATGAGCAGAGGTGCAGCAGCCCACCCGTGGTTTCAGTTAACCTCTTTTTGTGGTTGGTGCAATCCTTGGAGGGTGCACGAGTCCCGGAGAGATTCGTGCTGGTGTGGGGGAGACTCAAGCTGCAGTGTGGGGAAGGCAACCCCCCTGCAGTCAAGAGGAACCCCCCAGAGCCCAACAAGCAGGAAACAGCTGTTTATCAATGGTGGCTCTGAAGTCTGGACTGCCACTGATGTAAAGAAGCAAGTGAGTGACAGTTTGTGGGATAATTGGTGAAGAGTGTGGCAGAGAAAATTAGCTGTGGAGAGGATGATTGGAATGCTATAGACTTTTATAAGGCTGCTACAAGAATCTGTCCGGAGTTCTAAAAGGAAGCAGTCAAAAACCGGACGCGAGGCAAGTGAAAGTGAAGGGGCTTGGCAGACAGAAGAAAGATAGAGGACAATAACGAGGAAATAGGGAAGTTTATGAGGTTGGGAGATATACCACACCGATATTAACAGAAGAGAGTCTAGTGGCTGGAAAGTGACTGGAAGGTGTGGGGGATTCGGACTATTTCATTTGATTTTTACTCTGAAAGACTTTATTAAATTGAAGACGGGAAGAAGATCAGAGTTGGCAGAATAGAGACAGTGTGGCACCACAGGCGATATTTAGAAATCCTGAAGTTATTGTAACAATATAACTGATGTAAACCACTTAATTGCCCTTCAGGGAGTATATTGATTTAACTGAGGAGGTGGTTCCATCTGAAGAAAATCAGGAAAATCGAACTTAGGAATGCTAAGATGAAAAGTAAAAGTGGAAGCTTCTGAATGTGTGGAGATACCGTGTAATTACAGTCACTATTCAGCATTTCTTACATCCCCACTTCCGGTGCATTTGGAGTGTGAAGCTCTTAAGACTTAAAGACTGAAAGCTAAAAACTTACTTTAAAACTCCTTTTTCCCCTTCTTTACTCCCTCTTTCCTGTATACACCTGCTCATTTTTCTTTACTCCCCCACCCTTTGGTGCTATGATGAACTATCTCTCCTCCTTCAATCTCTCTTTATAATGTTCATAAATATATATACCTGGGGAAAGGAAAATTGATCTTACTTTTTTCAATTTGTTGGTTAATAATGCATAATTCTTTCCTAAAAAATCTAAGTTGTAAAGACAGTTTTCATTGCTTATTATTCCCCATGTTTAATTACTACCAGTTGACTATTGTTAGCCCCCCATATCTGAAGTTTCATCCAACATTTGTGATTTCTTTTGTTATTTGGGTAATTCAAAATTCTACATTATTCAACTGTAATAGTAGATACTTTTCAGTAACTTGAAAAAAATCCTAATAAAATTATTTCAGCATTGGGGAATGGTCTGAGTATAATTTATTTCCCAGTTTAAAAGAAAGAAGGTTATCTATGTAATGAGTAGAATTCAAACATTCAAAGAATTCAAATGTGAGTAGTTTTCATGAGATTGATGAAAAAAACTCAAATACCATAAGCCATAAGCCTTGTTTGTAAAACATTGATCAACTATCATTTCCCATTATTATTTTTTAAATGTTACTGAACATTAACTTTTTTCCTTATTTCATTTATTGGGCAGACCTTACCTGCTTCAGTTTGTACTGAGACCTGCAACCCTGGCTATTTTAAGAGAAAGCAAGAAGAAAAGCCATTTTGCTGCTATGATTGCCTTCCATGTCCCAAAGAGAAAATGTCAAGCCAGAAGGGTAAAAGTCATTATGAACTAAGCTGACAAGTTAATTTAGTTAAATTCAAAACTGGCTGATGTAAACTAGGGAGTCTTCGTATAAGTTTTATCCTGATATCAGCCCATAGAGGTAGGCTTCCATGTACAACCACAATTGGGATCAGAATTTCTATTGCAAGTCAATTCATAACATGATCAGACCCAATTTTATGACCATTTTCATAATGATTGTAATTCAAGTCATATGATCATAAGTGTGACTTCAGCTTGACCAAAGATGTTTACCAGAAAAGTTTGCAAATCAAGATTATGTGACCACAGAATTCTGCAAGAAATCATAAATGTGAGCTTATTGCCAAGCACCTAAATTGTGATCGTATGATCATAAGGGTAGGAGTTAGTCATACATTTGAATTTAGGTCATCACACACATTTTAAAGGCTTACATTAATTCAAACTGTTGTTAAGTTTTTAAGTATCATTTAGTGCAGAGGTCTTCAAACTTGCCAACTTTAAGACTTGTGGATTTCAACTTCTAGAAGTCCTCCTCCAGTCATGTTAGCTCAGGAATTCTGGGAGTTGAAGTTCACAAGTCTTAAACTTGCCAAATTTGAAGACCCTTGATTTAATGGACACAATTGGGACCAGCCACTTAGTCATTATCTGAAGCAGTTGCCAAGTGAAATTGCAACTGTGTTCATTATGTTATTTAAGTTTTCCTTTTCTCTAGTGACCTGCAAAGGTTTTACAGCTCCTTTTTTATTAATGTAACTGTGAGTAGTTGAATAGAGTAGAGTAGAGTAGAATAGAATAGAATAGAATAGAATAGAATAGAATAGAATAGAATAGAATAGAATAGAATAGAATAGAATAGAATAGAATAGTGTGGTTGGACACACAAGGAATTTGTCTTGGTGCAAATACTGTTTAGTTGCTAAACGATAGTATATGTAGCATTTCCCCCCACTGCACTGTTTTTTAGAATGCTCTCCCAACACTGGAATAATTAGCAAGAAAAGAATTGATACTTGCATTTACATTCATTGGAGAGGAAGATTTGCAAGAGAGTAAGCAGCACACACAATGGAGAACATCCTTTGAAAATAAAACAGTAGTACTCTGCATAGCACATTAGTCCCAGTGAGCCAGGAGCCACTTAGGAGATAAAGTAAAGCAGTGGTATCAAACTCAAGTCATCACGGTGGTGTCACGTGATGTATCAGGACATTTTTCCCCTTCACTAAACTAGGTGTGGGTGTGGTCAGTGCATGATGCATCCAACCTGCAGGCTGGGAGTTTGACAGCCCTGAACTAAAGCCTTGAGTATAAAACTGATTAGTGTCTTCTCACCGTCAGGCAGTAGAATGAGCCAGCTGAACTTACAGAGTATGTAATTAGTTCAAACTGTTGTTAGTTGAATGATCATAATCCAAGGACTACCTATATCATTCTAGCACACAATGACTTATTTTTCAATTTATCTAAAACTTTTGTACATTGTGTGATATTAAAAAGTCTAGTGAGGTTTACAAAATCTGAGGCAATTAACAAAGGTGATTTTTAAAAGAGTACAGGTAGTTGTCATTTAGTGGACACTTAGTCATTAACTGAAGCAGTTGCTAAGCGAAACTGCAATTGTGCTTATGATGTAGGCATAATTTGCAATATTTATATTTATATATTTATAGATGTGATAATTAATTTTTATTTTATCAAACAGAAGTCTAAAATTTTAAGAACATTAGACATTAATGATCTGATACAGAAATAACTTTATTTAATTTCATTTATATTATTTTCAATAATATCTGCTAGAAGACATTGTTGACAAACAACATGATGCACAAGTAATAAATAAGCAAGTTCAACTGAAGTCATGAGTATATAATATTCTCTTATTTATTGTAGAGTTTTCATGTTCTCTTGTGTTCCCTTAGATGCCAAAAAGAAAAGCCAGATGGATAACATCAGGGCCCTCTTACTTCTAGAAAAAGTGATGTAATGATACTAATAATAGTATAACCACAGGACAAAATTAACACAAATTTATATATATTTATATTCCAGACATGGATGACTGTCTAAAATGCCCAGAAGATCAATATCCAAATAAAGACAAAAATTCATGTATTCTCAAAAAAATATCTTTCTTGTCATATAAAGAACCAGTGGGATTTGGTTTAGCCATTTTGGCACTTTTCTTTTCTCTCTGCACTATTGTGGTGCTGGCAACATTTTTGAAACACCACAGTACACCTATTGTCAAGGCTAATAATCAAAATCTCACCTACATTCTACTCATCTCACTCCTCCTCTGCTTCCTTTGTTCACTTCAATTCCTTGTTGCACCAGGCAATATAATATGTCTCCTCCAACAAATTAGTTTTGGCATCATCTTCTCTGTAGCTGTGTCTTCTGTACTGGCAAAAACCATCACTGTAGTTCTGGCTTTCATGGCCACCAATCCAGGATCCAGGATGAGGAACTGGGTGGGAAGAAGACTGGCTATCTCCATTGTTCTTACTAGTTCCATGATTCAAACAGGAATCTGTATTGTGTGGCTGTTCACATTTCCCCCTTTCCCTGATGTTGACACCGATTCAGAAATAGAGGAAATCATACTGCAGTGCAATGAAGGCTCAACTACCATGTTCTATTGTGTCCTGGGCTATATGGGCTTTCTGGCAGCTGCCAGTTTCACTGTAGCATTTTTTTCCAGGAATCTCCCCAGCAGTTTCAATGAGGCCAAATGTCTCACATTCAGCATGCTGATCTTCTGCAGTGTGTGGGTCTCCTTTGTTCCATCCTACCTGAGCACCAAAGGCAAATACATGGTGGCTGTGGAGGTTTTCTCCATTTTGGCTTCCAGTGCTGGGTTGCTAAGCTGCATATATTTCCCCAAATGTTACATAATCCTTATAAGGCCAGAACTAAATAATAGGGAACAACTAATAAAGAGAAAATAGTAATAATATACAAACCTAAACAATCCTACTACCCATTATTTTTTCTTTTAATATCTCTTCTTTTACCATGTTTCTTCCAAATTAAAACCCAGTCTTATTTTTTTTTGGGGGGGGGGTGCAAAAATAAACACCAAGTCTTATTTTTTTGGGGGGGTGTCTTACCCACTTACCATAGGACCACCACAGCCAGTCCTCCCACATCCCGACACCTGTTGTGCCACTGCCCAATTTCTTCTGTGGGCTGCTCACAGCTAGACTCCACAAGGCTTATCACAATGGTGCCACTGCTCACAGCAGGAGTCTGTGTAGCTTGTTGTGCTGTTGCACATGAGTGGTGGCACTGGCATGATGCACCACATGGAGTCTACCCATAAATGGCTACAAGCAGCAGCAGAAGTCAGGTAGCAGCTATAGCTTTGGTGGTTCTAAGGTAAGCAGGTGTAGGGCATGGTGGGCAACTCCATCCTCTCATCCCCGCCTTAGCTTGATTTTTATGCATGCGCCTTGACTTACCTCATACAACCAGATGGTCGGTAGGGCTTAACTAGGGCTTAATTTTGGGATAGGCTTATATTAGACATGAAAATTGGGCTAGGATTTGTTATTTTTGGGTAAACACAGTAAGTCTCCATACTTCAAATAATTGACTAAAGGGAGGGATGAAATTATTAAAAGTTGTTTTTGGTATATGAGAAAAGCTTTGTCAAGTTAGTGCTTTTATTAAAAGTAAAAATCTTATAAATGAGGGAACTAAAATGCAGGGCTATTTTAGAAGACATTATATACGGGAGTCTTTGTGGTTAAATTGGGAGAAGATCAAAAGACAATGTTATTTGAAAATTCCAGTTTGGTTATCGACCATTGAAGCATTTTCCTATCCTATAATTTATAAGAAGGAACAAACAGTTAGATATGGGGAAATACTGGATGAAAAGGGTGAACTTAAATTGATGCAAAACTTAGAGGAACAAGGTATAAAGATGAATTGGTTTTCATATGCGCAAATACATTCAAGGTATGATGAAGATTTTAAAACAGAGGGATTTTATGATAAATTGACTGATTTAGATAAGATCTTGACAGGTACTGATGAAAAGGTGATTAAAATATTATACGGTTATTTATTGGAAATTAAATTAGAGGAAGAACAAGTTAAAGAAACTATGATTGCTTGGGGGAAGAATTTTGGATATGGGATTGATTTAGAGAAATGGCAAAAATTGTGGTCTCAAAATTATAAAATGACTATGTCAACAGCTTATAAAGAAAATTTGTATAAGATGTTTTACAGGTGGCACTTTCCCCCGACAAGAATAGCAAGAATGTTCAAGAATAAATCTGAAAAATGCTGGAAATGTCATCAGATACCTGGCTCATATTACCATATGTGGTGGACTTTCGAGGATGCTAGAAAATACTGGACTAAAATTCGCATGTGGTTGGAAAAAATGACAAAGAAACACATAGATTTGAAACCAGAGATCTTTTTATTGGGAATCTTACCTGATACATATAATAAAGATTTGAAATACCTGATAGTAAATGTATTAACAGTGGCTAGGATTGTATTTGCTAAAAACTGGAAAAATGAGAAAATACCATCAGAGGAAGAAATTATTAAGAAAATATTGGAATGTGCTGAAATGAGTAGATTGACATTTGAAATTAGAGAACAAAAGGATAAACAATTCTATAAAATTTGGGATCTTTTCTATCAATGGTTGGATGATAAAATACAATAATAGAATATTTAGAATTTTAGATAATAATGAATGTATAAAGAGATTTTTTTTCTTTTTTATTTGATATCACATCTATAAAATGTTTTGAGGATAAATTTGGTATGATTATATGATTTGTTATAAAATAAATTAAGTAAATTATAGTTATCTCGCAAAGTATGAATGAATAAAATCATAGTCAAATGACTGTTTAATAGTGATACTAGGGTACATAATTCTGATTGATAATATGAGTTATTATGTAATGTAACTGTAATTGAGACTACGAAATGAATGCACAAAAACTGGTAAACAAACCGACACACTGTTTGTATATCTATGAAAGAAAGCTGGATGTTTTTATGTTTTGTTTGCTTTGTTTGTCTTTAAAAACTAATAAAATTGTTTTTTTAAAAAAACACCTTATAAATGAGGAGGGCATTCTTTTTTAAAGAATGCAACTCATGTTTTTATTAAAAATGGATTGGATTCAAGTTGTTTCAAGAATCAGGATTCAAGTTCAGAAAAAAGGTTGTGGAGGCATGATGAAACGTGTACATGGATTATGTTTGGGTATGATGTTGTTCCAGCCTGAGCTAAATAGAGAGAACAATTGAAAAGATATATTTATAGTATAAACATAAAAACTTCCGGGACTTCCGGTTTGCAAGGCTTCGGCAGCGGCAGGGATTCGCGACACCACGTGATCCCTGCTGCGCTCGCTGCCGAGGTTCCTCCGATCCATTTGGATTTGGAGGATATAGCTGCCCCGTAGAGGCAGCTGAAGATAGGGGGACCTGGACAGGGGTTTGAGGGTGTCGCAGACCCCCTCCCCAGCCGGCAAACCCCCCTTTTCCCAAGGCGGAGGAGCGGCGGTCAGTAATGGCCACCACAAAGAAGCCTGCAGCTGGACAAGTTCGTGCAGGAGGAAGAAAGTTGGAAGAGTTGCGAAGAAGTGAAAGTGGTTTTTGCTGACTGGGATAAAATAAGAGAAAGTACCCTGGAACTTGAAATTTGCCAAAGATAAATTGTTTCCAGAGAGATTTATAAGCGGCGAATGGAATTTTAAAAGGAAAAGTTTTTTTTTTCTTTTCACTCTCCTTCCTAATGTGACAGCGGATGGAACCATAAGAGAAATCGGAAAACTTGCATTGGAGGTAATTAAATGCTGAAGGGACAAGGATTTCTGAACATTTTAAAAAAACAAAAAACCTTTTTTGCTATGAGTGGGAAGGGAGAGGGAAAAAATGGAGCAGAATTTGAAAATAAGGAGAAGATTGCCTAGAATATTAAAGAGTTATTAGAGTTATTAAACATTAATAAGACTTATAAAAGATATATTTTAAATGGAACTTTGTGACTAAACATTAACCCCAGAAAGAGAAAGTGAAGAAAGGAGAAAGTATTAAAAGAAACAGCTTATTTGGATTGTTTGGTGATCTTGGAATTTCTGAGAACTATCTTTGATTAAAAGCACTTGGGTGGTTGTTTGGAAAAACGTTTTCTTTCTACAATGGCATCATTTGTGGATGATTTGAAATTTGAATACCAAAAATACAAAAAAGAAGTACAAGAAGGGAAGGACTCTCTTGGCACTCTTTTTCAATTTTTAGAAATGGTGGTTTGTACTTATGAAAAGCTGACTGCGCAACAGGATGACTGGGATAAAGAAGAAGTCATTTTTGATGAACAAGTGACTTTATTTGGGGAAGGAAAGGAGAAAGAGGAAAAGGAAAAGGGGACTTTAAGACTTGGAAAAACAACCAAAAAAGAGAAAAATAAGGTGAAAAGTGGATACTATGTTAGAAAACAACAGAAAGGAGGAAAGCAGAAGAAGAAAAGAGAGGTGGAGAGACAAGGGGGTAAAAATGGCAAGAAGAATAAACAAGGGAGAAAGGAAGGGATGAGAAGCCTCAATGGTGGGGAGCAAGATGCAAAGAAACAAAATTCTTTTAGAGATAATGGGTAAACTTTATTGAAAAAGGGATTCTGGAAAGGTACATAAGATTGTATTTTTATATTTGTATTTAGAAATAATCTTAGAAAATTAGAAACAATATGTAATTTAAAATGTGATAAAACATTTAGTGTAATTTAGTGAAATTTTTGTGAAGAAAAAGAAAGCAATGAAATAAATGAGAGAATTGGAGTAGGAGAAGGGGGAACATTTTAACGAAATAATGATTTAAAATATGTGATGTGGGGGGGGGGAATAACTATGGAAAGCATAAAGTGTTGCCATAAAGGTATGATATTTAATTGAAAAATAATGTGTAAAGTGTTTAAGATATAAATGAATACCAATATTAATGATTAGATTGTGTAACTTTAGTGAAACTCTTTGTGAAGAAAAAGAAGGCAATGAAATAAATGAGAGATTTGAAGTAGGAGAAGGGGGAACATGTTAATGAAATAATGATTTAAAATACGTGATGTGGGGGGGGGAATAACTATGGAAAACAGAAGTGTTCCCATAAAAGTATGGTATTCAACTGAAAAGCAACGTGTAAAGTGTTTAAGATATAAATGAATACTAATATTAATAATTAGATTTGTATTGGCATTGATAATAAAAAATATTGTATAATTTTAGAATGTACCAAACAGAATCCCAATGTAAGCTATGTATTTTATATTAAGTATTATAAATGTAGGGGAAAGAGATAAAGGCATACTCCAATTAGTGTACAGAAGTTTTGTTTAAAGAAGAAAGATAAATGGATAGCTGGAAACAGAACAGACAAAGAATAATAAATATTATGATTTGAATTGAGATGAGATAAATAAAATAAAACTAAGAAAGTTTAAAAGAGATGAGAAGCTATACAGAAAATTGAAAATGGTAATAAGATATGGAATGGTATATAAAATGAATATGAATTTGAATTTGTGTCTGTACGAAGAGTTGTAACCCGGGACTAAGCAACTTTCAGAAAAGATGTTTTTTATGTTTCTATGTTTTGTGTTTTTGTGTGTTTATGCTTGATTGAGTTAATAAAACCTTGGAGGAATGTTAGAAGAGGATAATGGAGAATAAAAGATAGAAGAGAATAAAACAAGTCAGAGGAAAATATAAGTATAATGAATAAAAACATATAAAATAGATAAATATAGAAAAGAAATATAATTGAATAAAAGTAAAGGGAGAAATAATGAGAAACTTGAAAGGATATGTATGTGTTTATAAGGAAATGTGTCAATGGTGTATAAAATAATGTTTTATTTGTTTTGTTAAAATTTACAAATAACTTTCAGAAAAGAGGTTTTATGTTCTTATGT